TGTTTTTGATTCAGGACCACATATGAAAGGGGCCTGGATCGGATTTGAAAAAATTGGGTTTGTGCTGTTCAGACTATCATAAAAAATCCGATATGGGTCACATATGGCTGCAGACTGAACGTCGCCAAAGACACTGTGTAAGGTGTAAGGGACGAATGGAATGTGACTTTTATTTTCCAGGGATGCACATTGTGAAATAAAGACACCCATGATTCTGACAACTAATAGGTAACTTACAGTAAATTGCTCAGTGAGCAACGGACTTCACATGATAATAATGGAGGACTTTATGATTGAGTTTTTTTCCCGTCTCTCTTGTATACCAGTAAGTCTGAATGAATTAACTTTATACTTTGGTGTTGATAGTTTTGTGGTGCATTAAATTGTGGAGAATCTAGCTGATCTAAGGATGTGCAGCATCCATATTGACATAAGGTTAAACATTTATATTTGTGTAGGCGATCTAAACTACTGAAAACTCGCTCAAGCCGGCGCCATGGTGGATTTTAAGACGTTTTGTACATCAAGACAATTTCTATAAAATCCAGACCAGGCCTCTATTGGAGACCTGCGTTGTCAAAACCTGTAGCCACACCAGGCTTTTAAAGGAGACCTGCGTCTATTAGGGACCCTGCTTTTATTGGAAGTTTTACGGCATTATACTTTCGTTTTCCTTGTTTCAACTTCATTACCCAAGATGACAAAGAAGAAAAGTTTCTTGTTGTCTCACACAGCTGAGAGAGAGACAGAGCTTGCAGAGAAATGAAAAGCCGACAGTAGTTAATCCTCTCTTCTCGCTGAAAGCTGCTCTGAGAGCCGCCACTCCCTGGACATTTAGAGATGTTGACCTGCTGACCTCAGAGTGCTTCTACTCGGCAGGGAGGTTTTTGAAGAACGGCAATTTGAGTCCGGCAATCACAGCGCTGGCCGTGAGGGGAAAATGACACCTCCACCTAGATGTGTTTTGTCACTGACGGAAGAGTGCGCCCCGTCTGCTTATAAACCCCCCTGGGATAAATCAATTTCCTGGACAAAGCCCAGGAAATGGGGAGGCACAAGCAGAAATTCAACTGAAACCTGACAGGCGGCTTTTCACAGTGCATATGCAGCTTCTTTTCTGATTGTCGCCCCTCATTTCATGGGCAGGAGGAATTTGTACGAGGAAAGCCATCACTGGTGCATTCACTGGAAAAAAGATGGTGAAAAAGAGAGACATGCTCCAAAATTCTGCTAAAAAGGGCTTCAGATGACATTTTGTAGTTGCAGAGTATCTCCATTCAAAGGATGGAAGCACTTTATTATTACTTTTGTATGTCTGCTCTGAAAAGATGGATGAGACTGAATTAAAACTACAAATCAGTTTGAAAGAGAAAATCACAACCTGAGGTTCATTTTATAATATTTCTACAATACTAAGGATTAAGTGTAAAAAAGGTCATCGAGTCCCTAAAATACTTAAGAAAATTCCCCCCTGTTGTTATGGACACCTTATTATGATATATTTGCTTTTTATAACATTTTATATAATTAAGTTTTGTCAGTGATTCTCTTATTTTATACCCAAAATTGTATTATATTTTATTGTAAAATACCTCTATAATGGGGTAAAATATATTCATTTTTTTATTAAAATCAATGAAATGAGTTGGTTGAACTTTATTCCCAAAGAATATTTTGTATCAGTTTTGTTAGAAGGTATTGCTTTAATCCAATTTTGAAATTGTAGCACATCTCAGTTTATATATGTGTATGTTTAAGTAATGTGATTACTTTGCATATATGGTAAATGATGAGAAATTCATGACACTTAGATTTGACTTAGAGTGTTGCTATGTCATCCATTGTGCTAAAAAGCTATACTCGGTGCTTAAATCAGGTCTACAAACAGGTCTGACTGAAATCGTTATATGTTTTTAGCTTAATAAGCTGCTGCTGCTGCTGTACTTGTACCACATTTCACTCCAACACCTGCCTTCAGCAGGAGTTTCCTTATCTGTATTGAACTATGTCTCACATTTTCAACCTGTTAGATGAAGGTTGAGTCATTTTGAATGTGAGCGGTCACAACCTGCTGCTTTTCATGCATTTGCCCCTTCTCCTTCTCCTGTGGTTATAGCGAACCACAGCGGCTCAATTTAGACACAGAAAAGGCGAGGAAGCCCACACAAAAAGCTGTCAGCAGCAGATAAGTCGCTGCTCACTTTATGTCGCTGGAAATTGGTACTTTGACTTTCAGAATGCATTTGTTGCTGGCAGTGTTGCAACAAGCGGAAGAATAATGGTTTAATTTTCCCCTGACGCTGCCGTCCTCCAGACGCCTCATACATATGCAGCTTATGAGCTTCAGCTTCTGGTGATTCTGTCGCTCATGAAAATTTTAAATTCTCATACAACACAATATGTCATCTGTGGTTCACTGGGCAGAAATTACCAGGGAATGATTTCTTTTTTCTGGCCTGACTGGTTGCTCTACTGAAAAGTCTTGTTGTTAAAAAATATGCGACAAATTTTCAAACAAATGCATCACAGTTTCCTAAAACCCAAATCTGTTTTTTTATGAAGCTAACAGTCCAAAAAGAGAAAAGCAGTAAACCCTTACATTGGAGAAATTAGAAGCAGATTATATTTACAATTTTCTCTTGATTTAGGACTATAAACTGGTTGTAGAAAAAGATTCTATCTATGTCAGCATGTGCAAAGTTACTAAACATGGTCAAATTTAAAGATTGTCAGGCAAGTATACAACATAACTGAAGGACAGCAGATGAGAAAAAAAACTTGATCCATTATTTTTACAGATTGATGAGTGTCAGCTGCTCTTGATACACCACTGTCCTTTTCCTCAGCATCAACACGCGTCAGCTTGACTCAGCATATCTCAGCTATTCTCCCTTGATATCTTCTACTGTCTGTGCGATGCGTCCGGTGTGTGCTGTGGGGGTCAGTTAATGCCAGACATTTTGAGATGTGGTCCATGTGTGTTGCAGATATAAGTCTTGTGTTCAAGAATATAGATATATATATATATATATATATATATAGATATACACTACCAGTCAAAAGTTTGGACACACCTTCTCATTTAATGGTTTTTCTTTATTTTCATGACCATCCGTTCACCTTTTCTGCGTCGCACAAAGACACGGCGGATGGAACCAAACATCTCAAATTTGCACTCATCAGCCCAAAGCACAGATTTCCACTGGTCTAATGTGCATTCCTTGTGTTTCTTGGCCCAAACAAATCTCTTCTGATTGTCGCTTTTCCTTAGCAGTGGTTTTTTAGCAGCTATTTGACCATAGAGGCCTGATTCGCGCTGTCTCCTCTGAACAGTTGAGGTAGAGATGTGTCTGCTACTAGAACTCTGTGTGGCATTCATCTGGGCTCTAATCTGAGGTGCTGTTAACTTGCGATGTCTGAGGCTGGTGACTCGGATGAACTTATCCTCAGCAGCAGAGGTGACTCTTGGTCTTCCTTTCCTGGGGCGGTCCTCACGTGAGCCAGTTTCGTCGTTGCGCTTGATGATTTTTGCAACTGCACTTGGGGACACATTCAAAGTTTTTGCAATGTTCCGGACTGACTGACCTTCAGTTCTTAAAGTAATGATGGACTGTCATTTCTCTTTACTTAGCTGATTGGTTCTTGCCATAATATGAATTCTAACTGTTGTCAAAAAGGGCTGTCAGCTGTGTACCAACCTGACTTTTGCACAACACAACTGATGGTCCCAACCCCATTAAGAAGGCAAGAAATTCCACAAATGGACCCCGACAAGGCACACCTATGAAGTGAAAACCATTTCAGGTGACTACATCATGAAGCTCATTGAGAGAAGGCCAAGGGTTTGCAGCGCTGTCAACAAAGCAAAGGGTGGCTATTTTGAAGAACCTAAAATATTTTGTTTACTACATAATTCCATATGTGTTCATTCATAGTTTTGATGCCTTCAGTGAGAATCAACAATGTAAATAGTCATGAAAATAAAGAAAAAACATTAAATGAAAAGTTGTGTCCAAACTTTTGACTTGTAGGGTATATATAAATATATAATTATATATATTATATAAATTGGGTCGTTATAGCAGCCAGTATCCATCTATCCATATCTATCTCTTTTTTGTTTCATGATGACGATCAAAGTTGGCAGCACCGTTTTCTACGTGTGGGAATCTTTGGGAATCCCTGCTTCTGAGCTTATTTTCTCTCCCTGCTTGCCCAGGTACTACTACTACTACTACTACTTGTTTGAGTACAGATACCCAGCCCTTATGGTGGCTGCACTGTAGGAGGACAGTATCTACAGAGACTTCAGTGAGAAAATTAACCTGTATCAATGAATGTTGGAGGAACACAAATGATGCACTAATGCTCTGAAGGAAGCAGGTTGTGCAGTGTAACCCATGTTAAGCACACAAACACACTGCGTATATGAACACTGAAACAGTCCCCACTCCCCACCGCGCAAAAAAATAAAGGCTTTATGATTTTCACCGAAATGAACTGAAGCCAATGGCTGCCTGGAAAGGAAATTAATTCAGTTTCAAATCAGTTTAAAAGTGACCTCACGACTTTGAAAAGGGTTTTCAGTGGAGTAACATAAAGGCAATTTTTAATTAATGAACAAAGTCTTTGTTATGCTCTTTTTAAAGAATCTCCATCACTCGAAACATGACTAGATTTTCTCCCAGCCACACTTAGACAGATTCATCTTTCTCTGTTGTTTTTGGTGAACTCAGTTCCTAATGAAAGACATTTGTTAGATAATGTGACTCTTCTTGTCTCTGTAATGACGGTGTCACACTTTAACAAAGAGTCTAATCTTGTCCTTCTGTTCTGGTTCTCATCCATCCTGTCTTGCTATCATCTTCTGTTCTTCCTCTCCATCTGTTTCTAATTGATTTCACCCTCGTATGCCAACATCTCTTCTCTCATTTCTCCTCCCAAACACCCTCTCTGTACTTTACTTCGTTTTCTCCTCCATCATCTCTTCTCACTCTCAGGTGAACAAGCAGCAGCTGCAGGCGGTGAAGGAACGTTTCCTGGCTTTTCTCAACGGAGAAACTCAGATTGTGGCCGATGAAGCTTTCTGCAATGCTGTGAGGAGCTACTATGAGGCAAGGCGATTTTATCTCTATCCTATTCTACTCTGTTCTCCTCTTGGAAAACAAAAACTTTTTGTTGTTGTTTGTTTGTTTTTGGCTGAGAGGGACCTTGTTGTCCAGAGACCATTGGAGGCAGAGTTTGGAGGATCAGCACTCCACTCTAGTTATGGAATGGGGATGCCTGTATAAAGTTTCAATACTTTTTGATTGGTGTGTACAAAAATAAATCATGGTAAATGCTACAATTTTTCATTAAAATTTCCTGAAAAACTACATATAATATGGAAGATTTAAAATGCCAAATTAAGATGACAGATCAGAAGTAAAATATGCAAGAAGAAGTTGTACGCAGAAGAATCTCTTGAAATATTATTATATCAACATATTACAAAATTATGACATCACTGAATAGTAATTTTAAAATTTTGTCTCACTATTAACCTGCTACGTAGTCATGTTCATGCATGTAGCGCGTGCATCCATCCATGATTAATTACGAGCTAAAATGGGATGTAATGTAAAATTAATAGTTCAAAAACACTGCAATTATGGGTCCAATTGGCAACTATTGCGAGTGTAGTGTAGACAAGGAGTACCCCTTTTCCACTAAATTAGCACTGGTTCTTGAACTGGTTCCATTCAGGATTCAACAACAGTATTCAACAACAGTCAACAATCAGTAATCATCTTACCCCCCTGCAGTGCTTAATACATGATGTGTTGTCCCTGTCAAAATGGAAATCAACTGTCCAATCACAGCATGGAATATTGTATTTCCCTCTTTCTTTGTTGTACTTGTTTTCATTTAGGCATTTGAAATCTTTCCCACTATTAGAACTGAAACGCAGTAAAATACAGTACATTGCCGTTGTAGTGTGCAAAGGCATATAAACTAAAATAAACTTTTACAACATAAACACGAGCACGTTGGTTGGTAGAAGTTAAGGGCACTTGACTGGTAATTAGGTTTTACATGCTGTTTTCTTTTGGGTATTAATTGAAAAGGCAGAGTGTTAATAGATATGCTCAAAACGCAAGAAAGAGTGATCGAACCAGTGGAGTTACACTGGGCCTGTACAAGCCTCCATCAGTGGTTTTGTGGTCTACCGACCACTCAGAGCGCTTTACAACCCATGTCATATTCACCACTTGTTACTTCATACATTGATGGCAGAGGTTGCCATCTAAGGTGCCAACAGCTCATCAGGGGGATACCAATATCCAAAGCACTCATGATGATACTAAGCTCATTCACAGCGACCCTCCGATTACTAGGCAACCCGCTCTTCTACCTGAGCAATGGCTGCTAATTCTGTATGGAGATCTGAGTCACGTATGAGCAAAAAAACAAAAACCTCTTTAGCATTTATAAACTGCAGTCACTCTCTAATTGTTTTTGGGTTGGTCAGGCTCCACACAGCAAGTTAATTACAAAATACAAATATTCCTCTGAAAAAAAACCTCTTTGTCCCTTTCTTTGGTTTCAAACGGTCCTGTGTTGAGTTCTGGGTCTAGTCTGGGGGGTCTGCAGTGCCTTGGTCCACCTCCACACCTCTGATGACAGAGTGGTTGTTGAGCTCTTATGACACAAAATAATTACGTTTATCGCCGGCATCAGACTGAAACGGATTAGAAAATCGATCTACCAGCTGTTTTCTGGTATTGAGGGAGTTTTTCTTTGTTTAGGAATGCGGTGGCACCAATCTCTCCTCAAACTAAAGCTTTTTCATTTCCATCACCTCTGCTCCCTCTGCCCCCCTGCCATCCCACATCACCACAGTTTCTCTCTGATAGTACAAAAAATGCTTTCCCTCCTTCTCCACGTGCACACATGTAGCTGCAGCTGAATGCTTACTGAAGCTCTTCGCATCATGTCAGCTCCACGTAGTTAACACAAACACACATTGATTTTACACAGATTTTATGTTTCATTGACACTTCTTTTGGAATTGTTCCTAAAATTGGTTCAGTATTTGGATGGAAAGCTGTCCTCTGACTCCTCCATAGACACTGTGACAAACCCTCCCACGTCGACTCATGTTTCCAACTCCACTGTTGGAGGAGGACAGCTGTGAGCAGAGATTGCAGTGAATTTCCTCACTCTTCCCCCCCCATTTTTACTCTCTCTCTCTTATCTGTTGGTCCTCTGCCTGGATCTCTCCCTCTATCTCCCCTCATCTCTGTCTTCCCCTCCTCTGCTGAAGCGCCTATCATCTGGTATGAGATGGAGATCTTATCGACCACTTGCAGCTCGTCTCCCTAATTGCCAGCAATTGTGAGACGAGAGGATCTCACTGTATCTTGCAACTCTCACTCACTCTCACAGCGTTTGTATTGCCACAAAGGAGCTGACGGACCGAATGATCAAAGTGAGACGACTCGTCTTCCTCAGTGGACATCATTGTCCTCATGAGATGAGATACAAATTCTTCATGTTTGAAATGTCACCCTGAGACACCAGTGTTCACTGGGTTCGTTATATCGTCGTGGAGTCAGAGCATTACCACCCTGCAAACATATGACAACAGGGACTTGATCTTTTCATTCTTCATATGAAGTCATGGCAGATGTTCCACATGAGGAAATACATAGAGTGATCTATTTTCTGTCTCTCGCTCTGCTCATCATGGTTCACTGCGTGGTACACAACATGTAGAAAATACTCAAAGTGAGTGTGGGGGCATATGCAAACATGCAAGGTTGTTGTTTACATCAAGTACATGAAAATAAATAAAATGTGTCCATTGCAACTAATCATGACATGGTTCCCAAATTGTGTATTTGGAGGTCATAAATGCAATAATGTTAACCGAGAGAAGCTCCATTGTTGTCCAAAAACGATTTAAATACACATCATTAAGCCACACTCTTGTGCTTGGTGACATGTTCATTACCATGAACACACACACTTAGTTTATTTTGACTACATCCCACATACACCACCCAGCTGCCCCAAATACTCACTAGAGCACCAAATGAGGATGGTCCACCACTGAAAATAGTCCCCAACAAATCCAATATTTACTCTATCTTGAGTAACATTTGCTAGAGTATAACAGTGACAACTAGATATTGAAGGGGTTACTGAGCCTTTCTAAAAACAAAACTACATGTTTGTCAGGGTTTTTAAAGATTCATGTCTTCAGTGGGAACTACAGGGAAGTCAGAAAGAACTGAAAGACAGACTAACATTGGTTTAGCTCTTTTTGTGGGATTTGTTGACAGTAAAACAATAGAGAACAATACTGGATTTAATATTTAAAAGTTTCGATCAGCCTGTGCAGCCAGCAATTGCACAAGTTGTAGCAGTACTATTATGGACTCAAAAGGATTTTCTCTAAATGTGCAGACAATCTTAAATCATGCAGACATGTTCTTTACACGGTAATCTGCATACTGTATCTTGTTCTTCATCTTAGACCTAGTCATCTTCACACCCGATGTCCATGTTTTGTAAATAGAAAATATACTTGTGCCCCTTCTGTGCACCCATGGGCATGTTGGTCTTAAAATGAGGGGTGGTCAGGCCATTGTTGGCACACTGCTATCTTGAGGCGGCAGAAAGCCATTGTGCCATTGACTATTGGGTTGTATTTTTAATTTTTTAAGGTATCAAACATAGAGCGGCAGGGGGAGAAATATGGTGCTGCACAGAACAAGACATATACAGGCCATGATACTAGTAATACTAGTCCTGTGGGTAATCTGATACACTGCATTTCTCTGCAAGTGAGTTTTATTGGCATTATGAGTGCATAGGGACAGTTGGCATTAGTCTGCAATGTTATACCCAAAACACATCTACAGTTAATTAAGAGACTAAATAAAACCCCCTTTGTGCCTTGCGCCTTATTTTGCGCGCAGATTATGCACCGTATAATTAGAAAAAATAGAGTTGGATATGCCCTAAATGCACTTGTGCAATGGATGTTAGACCATGAACTATAGATCATTTATAGGGCCCTAAATGTAGCCTGTAGGTGTCATGTCTGCAGTTCAGCACCATGCAGAGGATGGTTGATCAGCAGATGTCATTTTCCACAATAATGGGGATGAAATCCTCTATTTGTGTATGTATGATTTAAGATTTAATAAAGCGCTGTATGTGGTGATATTGTTAATTTTCTGGAAATTCAAATGAGAAAATGCTTATGGATAAAATAACCAGAGGGAATGGCTGTTTTGTTTGATAAAAATATAATAACAAAGCATGTATGCTAATATTGTAGGGTAAAAACCCTAAAAACCTTGAGAACGTTGACGGTTTATTGTTTTTCATTCATTTATTTTTTGTCTTTTTTTATATTGTGGATAGGATACAATAGTGAATTGACTGGAAATGAGGAGCAAAAGAGAGAGCGCAAGATGATATTCATTCAGCTGGACTCAAACTGGGGGCGTTGTGACTCCATGATCAGCATCATGTTTTATTTCCAGAAAAGCACAACCAAAAGGAATTCACCATTATTAGAGAGCAGAGAGGAGAGAAGGATATGGCTGCACAGTTAATCAAATTATTATCAAAAACCGGAATATTTTGATAAAGGTAAAATGTGTAATAAAACAGCTTTATAATGATTTACTGTACTACTGCAGATATGTCCTGGCCTACAAACCTTGTTCTCCAGATGAATCATAATCATATTGCAATTGTGATTTTGGTCAAAATAATCACAATTGATGTTGATTTTTGACCATATTGTGCAGCCCCAGAGGTGGTGTGCTAATGTAGGTGAATCCTCAGCAGAGGAGGAAACTGAATTGAAAACCCAAAAGGAACTGGGACAGCTGGCGAGTCAACAGGATTTCACTGCTTTCTCACTGATTTTCCTCATCAAATGAATACATCATTATTTCAGTGAAACAGTTGAACTCCTTCTTCTCACCAGGCTGGATGTCGGATTCTGTGAGGTGAAACACTTTGGATCTAAAAAGTTTAATTCAGACCGCTCACACCTTATAACAAGCTGCTGCTGAGTCCTTGAGACCATCAGGCTGCAGACACACCGCAA